TGCAAATCCAGGGAACATATGGCTGAGTAGTAGCATGTGAAGCTCTCATGCACTTTACCCTGCCATGGTTGATCCATTAGGTGGAATATATCTTGCCCTTTCAGCAAACTGCAAGACTATGACTTCAAGGCTTCATTCAGCAAATTCAGGAACTGCTTCCTAGCTGTGTGAAAATGTTTCTTATTCTCATGTCTACTTAGCATTTTGTGGAACAACTATGTCCAAAAATTTTAAGAGCCACACTGAAATCTATATCTGGGTATCACACTGCACTGTCTTGATGATGCAGTTGTACTCTGTGAGAGGCATTCTTAAACTACTGTGTTCTGTTAGTCCAGATTTCTGATTTTGCAGAAGGCAGATGAACCCTAGCAGTAGGGCATATCAAAAAGTTTCCTTATGTTAAAAAAAAAAAAAAAAAAAAGCAACTGGTTAACTTCCTCAGTATGGTTTATTCTTTCAGGAAGCCATGTGCTTTTATCTCTTTGGGATGTTCATATCAGTGTGGTCTGTTCATTTATGGCTCACTTATGACTTAGCAGATATCTCAGGGAAATATCAAGAAATGCCAGCACAAATGTGAATGAAAATTCTTATAAATATTTAATGCTCCTTGATCTAGTAATACTGCTTGGAGAATTTATCCTAAGGAATGGGACAGAGACATGCCAATGATTTGTACACAAGGATATTTATAGCGGTATTATAACAAATTAGAAATAACCTAAATTTTAGCACAGCTGTAGGGAAATAGTTAAAATATATCATTTGTTGAAAAAGCATGTAACCATTACAAGTTGTGTTTTTTGAAAAAGTCTTGATGACATAGGAAAATATGCACAATATAATGTTAAGTAAAAAAAACAGATAAAGGAGAATAACAGTGATCATCTCTAGATAGTATAATTATGGGTACCTTTGATTCCCTGTTTTCAAAATTTTTTAAATGAAAAAAAGTTGTTTTTATAATCGTAAAAGAATAGTACACATCATTTATACACCAATCTATACCTCTAGAAGATATCCTAGTAAAACTGGGGCAATTTTAGCACATGGCTCTCAATAAATGTTTGTGAGATAGGTAGGTGGATGGACAGACAGACGAATGAATGAATGACAGTTGGCATTTGTAGGTACCACCATTGAATTTATAAGATTGCAGAAATAACAAGTGAAGATTTGTTAATTAAAAGGAGAAAATTCCAGACCAGTCAGCAGTTTGAAGGATGACATGGAAAGTACCAAAGGAGCCACAAAATTGAGTGACTGACAGTAGCCGAGGAGTTGTAGTCATTGGAGTTTGTCATTGGGTCCATTGCTGCTCTTGTTTCTGCTGATTCTATGTGTGTCCTTAAGTATCTTGTGCCTGCTGTTTTCACTGGTCTCTATTCAGTTTGGCCAGTGACTGAGCATGGTGAGAATGAAATCAAGGTCAAGAGTTCAATTCCCATTTGAACCAGTTAACACTTTTCCTTCTAGGGAGAAGATATCCCAAAGCTATCTCTGGTTGAAACTAGCCATATGGACAAGCAGGAGAGTGTTGATCAGGGCAACCTGCCTCTAACACTTGTGAAACCACTTAAAACACCTCTGTATAGAGGGCTATAGTGTCCTTATGTTCTTTGAGAACAGGCCTCTGAAACTGAGGTGTTGATGTGTATAACTTTTCCCACCAAGGGAATTAATATAAAACTTGGCCACGTTATAATTTTTATTACAAATTCAGCCTAGTACAGTGGCTTACTCCTGTAATCACAGCACTTTGAGAGGCTGAGGTGGGAGGATCACTCAAGACCATCATGAACAACATAGGGTGACCCTGTCTCTACAATAAATAAATAAATTAGCTGGACATGGTGGCATGTGCCTGTGTTCTCAGTTAGGAAGCTGAGGTGGAAGGATCACTTGAGTCTGGAAATTTGAAGCTACAGTGAGCCACGATCACACCACTGCACTCCAGCCTGGGTGACAGAGGGAGACTCTGTCTCTTAAAACAAAAACACACAAATTCACAATAAGCTGTTCATGGAAATGATAAATGGGACTGATGGACCTACATTCTATCCTACAAGGTCTTAATATCTGGGATGTTTTGATCACCTTGCTGACTGAATCTGGCTTCTTTGTAAGCCCGTCAGTAGACAACATTAGATGTGTGAATGAAATCTAAATGTTTCCAGTACATTCCATTGTCTGTGAAGGAGCCTGCGTCAAAGCCATTAGACTTTTGCATAGCATCCTGTATCTCTGCTCTTGGTGGCTTATTAAACACAGTGTTTTAAATTGTGGTTACTCTTAAATCCAACTGCGCCATACTAGTGCCAGTGCCTTGTTTGTATCTGCTCTGTCTTGATACTGCTAAGGTGTTAGATTTATTGTTTGTCTTTTTCAACCTGAATCTCCTCTCATCACTCATTTTAAAAAATCTTATTCAGGGGTTGAGGAATTTACAGTTCTGAGCCCAATTGTCCTTGTCCTATATGTCATAATATCTGAATATGATGGACCCCCTTAAATAGGTCAACTGACTGTTTAGTTCAGGGTATTTTAGGAAGAGGAAGAGAACTGACATTTTTGAGCACTAATAATGTGCTATAGTTTACTAGATATTTTCATGTACATTATCTGAGTTAATCCTCAATATAACCATGTAAAGTAGGCATTACTACCCCAGTTTTATGAATGAGGGATCTAGCTTTGATAAGTTAAATGATTGAATCATCATTTGAATGCTGATCTGTTGGATTTCAAAACCTGTGACATACTGACTCCCAGGGATAGCAGAGTTTCTTAGATTTAACCTAATACCACACCGATCACCTGGCCTTGCTTCCCCTCTTGCTTTTCTGTATTAAAAAATATTTTATTTTTAATTGACAAATAATTGTATATATTATATTAGGTACAATGTGATGTTGATATATGTTTAACGTGGAATGATTAAATCAGGCTAATTTTTTTTTTTCTAAAAGGACCTTGCCTTCAGAATTAACTTTAATTTTCATTCCACTCTGCTTATATTACCTTGGCAAGATCAGTCCTTTGTGGCAAGGCCAGGATTTAAGCTTTGAACCACCAATAAGGAGGGCATTGGTTCAAGATCAATGCACTAGCAGAGAGAAAAACGGAAGAAAAAAAAAAGGGCATTGGTTTGAGCCTGCTTTCAATTTTGTCCAAAATCCAGTTATTCATATTTTACCTTGTTCCCAGTAACTCATAATACAATCCAAGGATGTGCCTTATTGCTGGCCTGGTACTTGCTGGATGCTCAGTATTTCAAGGCATATTGGGTTCCATCATCCACTTGAGAGCCAAAAACTTCAGTTGTAGGAAAACAGTGCTTTCTATGGTGAAAGCAAGCATGTTTCTCCTCTGGGACAGACTGGTAAGCAAAGCAACTGCAAAAAATTTACCAAAGATGTGTTGATGTGTATGTAGTAAAATAGATCAATGAGAAACAGACCATTTGGGCTGAAGACGATATAGGGTGAAGGTAGGGAGAAGCGAATTTTCAAGAGTAGGGAAACTGAAAGGGATGATCATTATCCTCTGAATGACTGAGGAAAGCAAGCTGGGAGTTAATCTAAGTTAGTGTTAGATTAACTAGGATTAATCTAAGTTAGTCTTAGATTAATTTAGATTAACTCAAGGAATTAAGAAAACCTGAGTGCAAAGCATAATGGTGTGGTGACATCCTTTGAAAGGAGGGTGGCTGGATTCCACCCAGGTCTAAACATTCTAGTTTGCAATTAGAATGAACATTTTCAAGGGCCTCTTGGAATTAGCTATTACGTGTTGGATTCAAATGCATCCTCAGGCCATTAATTTAGGGATATTTAGGGATTAACCAACCTAAGGTTGTTTCAGTACCAAATCCCAGACAAGTTAATCCATACCCTTTTGGTTTCTTCTTGTCCTCTTTTGTTGTCAACTCGGCAGCTTTCTGGGGTGATATTACAGTTTAGGGTCTTGAGAGCCAAACTCTCTAGCAATCCACTTTGGAGACCTGGAGGTTTTGGAGAGGGTTACAGGGAAGCTCGGGAAGGCAGAGAGTGGTTCCTGAATGTCTTCCCCATTTTGTTCTTGAATTTTTGCTGCCAGGTTGCCCAGAGGGAAACTGAGCATAATTTCCATCTGCCAACCGTGTCATTTTCTGTACCCCACAGAAAGGAGGATGAGGCACCTTCTCCTCAGCTGGTCTCCTGTGCAACTGAGTTCTTTACGAAAATGCAAATTTGGTAGTAAGTGGAAGGAGCCCCGAGGAGCAGTGGCTTCAGTCTGGAGAGCTTGGCTGTGCTTGCCTTGGTACCCACCTTTTTTCTTATTCTCTTCCCTCCCAGTGTCTCAGAATTTGTGATCCAGCATTGTCATCGACAAGCAGCTACAAGTGACATATGAGGCCATCTTAAGGGAAGGGGCACCAGAGACTTAAAAGGTGGTGGATTGGGACCAGTAACAGAAGAAATAATCACAAGATAGTAATTCTTTGGGAAGTAGCCTATTTTGAATATCATGAGGTATGGGAAAAGACAAGCTTTAGACGAATTGAGGTTTCTACCTTTTAGGCACACTCGCCCCGTATAAAATCTCTGATTCCTATCAGCGAGGGCAGGAGGAGGAGGGACTCCTTACCTTACCAAAGCAATTCCTGTAGTAAATCACTCTAGTAAACAGTTAAAAAGAACAGAACCACATTTCTCTTGTGCTGTCCAGTATGGGAGTCACTAGCCACATATGACTATGAGCATTTGAAATATGGCCAGTTTAAATCGAGATTTTTATAAAGGAAAACACACACCAGATTTCAAGGACTTAGTATGAAAACTATAACAGCATAATTTTTATATTGATGACAAGTTGAAAACAATATTTTGGTTACATTGGGTTAAATAAAACATTAGTTTTGCCTGTTTCTTTTTACCTTTATAACATGGTTACTAGAACATTTAAAATTATGTGTGTGGCTCACATTATATTTCTGTTGGACAGTGCTGCTCTAGTATGTTCAAAAATAGAATTTGATCTATAAGCATTTTTTAGGAGTACAGTTCTTGCTTTAAATAAATATACCTGTACATGAGAGACAGGCTTATTTCAAAAGAAGGACAGGGTGGAGTGGAGATTTGAAAATGGGGAAACTGATTATAGAAGAAAGTCAGGACCCTGCCTCAGTTACTTCTCAGTCTGGGGGTGGGGGATGCTGGGACAGGGGTCAATTGCCTGAAGCAAGTGCTCTCATTCCCCTCTCTCCTGCTGCTCTAGTTGGGACTCCAGAGAGGGGAGGAGAAAGGCACTTTGAAATTTCTCGGCCCTTACCGTCTTAGCCATCAAACTCTGAGTTGGAGATAGTGACAATGTGACAGGAACTTTCCCTGGGCCTCTCTAGGCCACCATTCCTGGCCAAGAGAAAGAGGAGGAATGAGGTGAGCACCTTCTTCACTCCCAGGGCCATGTGGTAGAGCTGTAGTCGCACCTCTTTCTGCCAATAGGCATAGATGAGTGGGTTGAGCAGGGAGTTGCCCACACCGAGCAGCCACAGGTACTGTTCCAGTACTGGGTAGAGGCGACACTCCTTGCAGGCCACCTGCACAATGCCAGTGATAAGGAAGGGGGCCCAGGATAGAGTGAAGCTCCCAATGAGAACAGACACAGTGCGGAGAGCTTTGAAGTCACTGGGAGTCCGTGGGGGTCGATAACCTCCAGCCATGGCTCTTGCATGTTCCATCTTTCGGATTTGCTGGCTGTGCATGGAGGCAATCTTGAGCATGTCACAGTAGAAGAAAACAAAGAGCAGCATGGCTGGGAAGAAGCCAAAGCAGGAGAGGGCTAGCACGAAGCGAGGGTGAAATACGGCAAAGAAGCTGCAGGGCTCTTTGTAGGGGGTCTGCTGGAACATGGGGACTCCGATTGGGAGGAAGCCAATGAGGTAAGACACCAACCACAGCCCGGCAATGCAGGCCCCGGCCACAAACCCACTCATGATTTTCAGGTAGCGGAGGGGCTGCTTGATGGCAAGGTACCTGTCAAAGGTGATCAGCATGACCGTGAGGACAGAGGCAGCTGCGGAGGAAGTGACGAATGCCATTCGCAGGCTGCACAGGGTCTTCTGTGTGGGCCGAGAAGAGCTGGAGAGCTGTTCTGTGAGTAGGCCAGAGATGGCCACGCCAATCAAGGTGTCAGCCACAGCCAGATTCAAGGTGAAGCAGAGATTGACACCATCATTCTTGTGAATCAGTAGCAGCACAGCCACAGCCACTAGTGTGTTAGTAGCAATGATGAGGGAGGCCAGGACAGCGAGGATCACTCCAAATGAGAAAGATGATTCCATGTCTTAAAGTGGCAGTACTTCACTTAGGAGGGCATGCTGTCTCTCCAGCTGAAATTCTTATGGGCCAGGGGAAGAGGAGCTGTGGGTTCAGAGCTATGGCACAATTCTGGCCTTCACTGGCAGTCCAGGCTGGCAGCTTGCCCTCTTTGTAATCCTGCAGGTCATGAAGAATTACTCATTCTCTCTTTTTCAGTCCTCAGCCTCCTGCCTGTCTAGCTTTCTAAAGGCAGCGATCTCAGTGCCAACCTCCCCCTGGGCCCCGAACTAGTCCCTCCCCCTCCAACCACCAAGTTACTAGACAACACCCAAGTACCTGTACATGCTGTCTTGCTAGGCCCTCTCTCTTCATTGGTGCTTCAAGGACTCTGGAGGGATGGGGACATTCATCAGGTCTCCTGTCTGTCAAAAGATATAATTGACTCCAATCATCCTTTTTTCTTCCTGCATACCTTGACATTAAATTTCTACTTTTCTTCCAAAGCCTTGAGTACCAACTTAATGAATCTAAGCTTAATTAAACATTTTCTTAATAACAAATTGTCAATTACTATTATGAATCACTTTTAATCAAGCAAGATGCTCATAATCAGTTGAAGTGGGAAGTGAGGGCAGGTGAGCTTTTAGAGGGGCCCCAGCATACTTTCAGGAACGTTACCACACATTTAAGCGGTTTCTTACCTTTTGCTTCCTAGTGCCTCAAATTTTCGTTCTCTCAAGTAGGGCGTGCTGTTCCCCCATTTCTCATCCCTTGGAACCCAGTTGAGGATTCAGGACAGGAAAAGCAGGGCCAAAAACTGTTAACACCTGTCATTCAGTTTAGAGCCCATTCGCCATCTTGAGCTGCTGTCTCTTGTGTATACTCATTGATAATTATTTCTGCAGCATGTTGGGCCAGATCTCTGATCAGTAAGTAGTGGCTGCCGGGCTTGCCTTTCTTGATCCTGTAGACCCGACGTATCTCTGTGGGAGGAGGAGAAAAGGAGATGAGCTGCATTCTGGGAAGTATCTGCTTGATGTTTGGTTATGGAATTTTCCATTTTCCAGGAATAGGAACATGGGGGCCAGGTGGGGGGTGGGGTTAGATCAAAGGGCGACTGTGTTGTTGAATCAGGTGAGATGCGCCCTGGAGGGGCAGCTGTGTAAGTCCCTCCTGTTTTAGGATGTGTATCCATTTGCTTAGGTACATTAGAACTAACCTTTTGCCTGCTACTCTCATCTTGGATACCAAGAAGAGAGGGGTGGGGAGAAGAGTGGTTAGAAGCTTATTTACTCAATTCAGGTGAGAGCACAAATGGGAAAGGTTAGTGTTTGAAGCGAGGGAGTGGAGAGCAAGGTGCAGAGTTGGAGGCAAATATATTCCAGGATGTTTTGACAGTCTGAGAGGGCCTTTGGCAGATGTCTCTCCTAAAAAAGGGTCAGAAAGAATGTGTCGTGGTGACTCAGTATTCTAGTTGCCAGCCTGAAAACAGTTCTTATTCTTTGATATGTCCATTAGCAGATTGATTCCTGTTGCTTAGAATCTAGCCTAGTTTTATTCCTGGACCTAAGTGCTTGAATTCCCCAGCTCTTAACTCCACGGAGTCAAGTTAGCCCTTTTCAAGCGCTTGTTCAAACTTGAGAGTGTGTCAGAATCATCTGACCGATGTCTTAAAACCCAGGTTCTTGGGTCGCATTCTCAGAGTCATTGGTGAGTCTGAGAATCTGCTTTTCTTTTCTTTTCTCTTCTTTTTTTGAGAAGGAGTTTTGCTCTTGGCGCCTAGGCTGGAGTGCAATGGTGTGATCTTGGCTCACTGCAACCTCCACCTCCCACGTTTAAGCAATTCTGCTGCTTCAGCCTCCCAAGTAGCTGGGATTACAGGTGTGCAGCCACCACACCCGGCTAATTTTGTATTTTTAGTAGAGACAGGGTTTCACCGTGTTGGCCAGGCTGGCCTCAAACTCCTGGCCTCAGGTGATCCACCTGCCTTGGCCTCCCAAAGTGCTGGGATTATGGGCATGAGCCACCGCACCTGGCCAGAATTTGCATTTCTAACAGATTCTGCTGTTGCTTGCTCAGGCACCACATTTTGAGAAGCACTGCTCTAGTGCAATGGTTCTTACCCTTAGCTGTGCATTGGAATCAGCTGGTGATTAAAAAAATTCTGCTGTTTGGGCCACACACCAAGAGATTCTAACATGATTAGTCTGGGGTGGTACCTGTGCATCGGAAGTTTTAAAAGTTCCTTGAATGATTCTAATATTCAGCTAGGGTTGAGAACCACTGTCCTTGGTTTCCTCATGTGTAACATGGGTACAGTCATAGTTATATCACAAGGTTGTGAGAATGATAAAATGAGGTATGATATAGGCAAAGATTTCATGACTAAAACACCAAAAGCAATTGCAACAGAAGTCAAAACGGGATCTAACTAAACTAAAGAGCTTCTGCACAGCAAAAGAAACTATCATCAGAGTGAACAGGCAACCTACAGAATGGTAGAACATTTTTGCAATCTATCCATGTAAAAAAGGGCTAATATACAGAATTTACAAGGAACTTAATTTTACGAGAAAAAACAACCCCATCAAAAAGTAGGTGAAGCATAAGAACAGACACTTTTCAAAAGAAGACATTTATGCGACCACCAAACATATGAAAAAAAGCTCATCATCACTGGTCATTAGAGAAAGGCAAATCAAAACCCCAATGAGATACCATGTCATGCCAGTTAGAATGGTGATCATTAAAAAGTCAGAAAAAAATGCTGGAGAGGATGTGGAGAAATAGGAATGCTTTTACACTGTTGGTGGGAGTATAAATTAATTCAACCATTGTGGAAGACAGTGTGGTGATTTCTCAAGGATCTAGAACTAGAAATACCATTTGACCCAGCAATCCCATTACTGGGTACTTATCCAAAAGATTATAAATCGTTCTATTATAAAGACACATGCACACGTATGTTTATTGCAGCACTATTCACAATAGCAAAGACTTGGAACCAACCCAAATGCCCATCAATGTTAGACTGGATAAAGAAAATGTGGCACATATGCACCATGGAATACTATGCAGCAATAAAAAAGAATGAGTTCATGTCTTTTGCAGGGACATGGATGAAGCTGGAAACCATTCCTTCTCAGCAAACTAACGCAGGAACAGAAAACCAAACACTGCATGTTCTCACTCATAAGTGGGAGTTAAACAATGAGAATATATGGGCATAGGGAGGGGAACGTCACACACCAAGGCCTGTTAGGGGGTGGGGGTAGGGGAGGGGTAGCATTAGGAGAAATGCCTAATGTAGGTGATGGGTTGATGGATGCAGCAAACCACCATGGCACATGTATACCTGTGTAACCTGCATGTTCTGCACATGTATCCCACAACTTAAAGTATAATAAAAATAAATAAATAAAAACATAAATTTTGAAAATGAGATACGATAGATATGAAAAGGCTTCATAAAGTGTAAAATGTTACACAGGTATCAAGCGTCTTCTAGTCTCTGTTAATCAAATCAACACATTGTTAATCAAAGTGTGTATCAGAAGCATTTGTATGACCTGAGAGCTTGTTAGAAATGTAGAAGCTTGGCCAGGCATGGAGGCTTATGCCTGTAATCCCACCACTTTGGGAGGCTGAGGTGGGCAGATCACCTGAGTTCAGGTGTTCAAGACCAGCATAGCCAACATGAATAAACCCCATCTCTGCTAAAAATACAAAAATGAGCTGGGCGTGGTGGTGGGTGTCTGTAATCCCAGCTACCTGGGAGGCTGAGTGGGGAGAATCACTTGAACCTGGGCAGCGGAGGTTGTGGTGAGCCAAGATCGCACCACTGCACTCCAGTCTGGGTGATAGCGTGATACTGTGTCTCCAAAATAAAATAATTAAAAAAAAGAAATGCAGAATCTTAGGCCCTATTCAAGACATGCTGAAGCAGTCTGCAGTTTAACAAGATGTCCAGGTGATCTACATGCACATTTAAGTTCTGTTTGCCTCTCTCCTACCCTCAGGTGTCTAGATGTATTAGTTTTCCTTTGCTGCTGTAACAAACTACCACAGACTGACAACACAAATGTAGTATCTTACAATTCGCAAGGTCAGAAGTCCAAAGTGGGTCTTACAGGGCTGAAGTCAAGGTGTCAGCTGAGCTGTGTTCCTTTGGGAGGCTTTAGGGAAGAATCCATTTCCTTATCTTTTTCAGCTTCCAGAGGCTGTTTGCACTCCTAGGCTCCTGGACATATCACTCCATGGTCACGTCTCCTTCTCTGACCTTCCTGTTTCCCTTTTTAAAGGACCCTTGTGATGACATTGGTCCACCTGGGCAATCCAGGGTAACTCCCCCATTTCAGGATCTTTAATCACATCTACAAGTACCTTTTGCCATGTGAAGTCACATATTCACAGGTTCCTAGGATTAAGACATGGACATCTTTGTGGGGAGCATTTTTCTACCTACCACACTAGTATTCTCTGCTGCACGGGTCTCTTCCCTCCCAAACCCCCCTTCAACAGAGTCTGCCATTGAAATGAGGCTCCTAGGAGAGGAGCTCTAGGAAGGTAGCCAGGACAAACCAGGCCTAATTTCTCATGGTGCCTAGACCAGCCATCCATCTGCCTGTGATGATTTAGCTGCATCTTGCCTGAGGACAAAGGTGCAGTGACATTTAATAAATACCTCTTCCTGAATGACTCGACTAGTACATATATTACTATAAAACATTATGCAGCAGTGTGAAAAGAATGGGAGAGGTTTATATGTACTGATATAAAGAGACTTCCAAGATATGCTATTGATTGACAAATCAAATCACAAATCAGTTTCTAGAGTCTTGGCTCACTTATGAGAAAACTCCTAAACCCAAATATATCTGGATATAAATGCATAGAATGCATAGAAAAGAGACTGTTAACAAAGAGTGAATAACTTTGAGGACGGGAATGGGATTGGTGGGGGCTGAAGAGTCACAATTTGCTTTGAATACTTTTTACTTGTCATATACACATACACACACACGTATATGTGTATGTATATATATTATATGTTATATATAGATAATAAAATATACATATAACATATAATATATATATACATACACACATACGTATACAGGTATGTAAGTGTGTGTGTGTGTATGTGTATATATATGTTATATATATATATATTTGAGACAGAGTCTCATTCTGTCACCTAGGCTGCAGTGCAGTGGCGTGATCCTGGCTCACTGCAAACTCCACCTCCTGGGTTCAAGCAATTCTCCTGCCTCAGCCTCCTGAGTAGCTCGGATTACAGGCACCCGTCACCACGCCTGGCTAATTTTTGTATTTTTAGTAAAGACAGGATTTCACCATGTTGGCCAGGGTAGT